AGACCATGAAGCACATCTTAGGGAGGTTTGCCTGGGGCCAGCGCTGCGAGAATGATGACAGACTAGTCAGCTTCGCCGAATATAATCGATTGTATATTACCAACATGCTGTTTCAACATCCAAAACAGCATTTTCTATCGTGGTACTCCAACGACTGACGAACAACACACCAAATAGATTACCTTCTCATCCGTTCACGATGGGTTTCTTCAACTGAAGACTGTCGATCCTATCGCGGGGCTGACTGCGGGAACACAAGCGGATCTGATCACGTACTAGTTCGCGCGAAAGCTGGACTCTATCTAACTACTCGTAGGAAGACCGTCCCCTCAAAATGCCTCAATGTGCTTCCACTGGAGAACAGCGAGAAATGCCAGACACTGATGGGCATGATAACTACACAGATGTAAAACGCTCCTCTCGGTACGCAAGAAAACACAGGGAGTTCGGTTGAAACTCAGTAGACCAGGACGAAGTCCTCGGTACAACAAGCTGCTCTACACGAACTAGGCACTGAGTCACGTCGTCTGAAGGACTGGATATCCGATCGCTTCATCCAATTGGCTAACGCGGCCAGAGAGACACGTCTAGCTCAATCCTCTGCTTATCGCGATCTCAGACGACAAGCAACAAGATCAACCAAAAAAGATAGATACAACTACTAGAATAAAATGGCTACAAAAATGGGGACAGCAAACAAACTGGGCAACACAACAACCTTCTTCTGACTAATTCGATCAGCATCGGGAAAGCAACAGGTTACCTAATCTGTGTTGCGCAGCGCCTCCGACGAGCTTATTTCTGATTCGAAAGAAAAATATTTATAGGTTGGTGGAACACTTTAGTCTTCTTCTCAATCACCCTCAAATCCAACTTCTGTATGCGTCTCCCTCATCATCTTCTCTATACGAAGCTAACTGCGCGCCGTCATGAGTAAAAGAAGTTTCAGATATCATCCGCCATCTCAAGTCACAAAAATCTCCTGGTGAAGACGGAATACCTGAAGTCTAAGTAAAGCGTTCTTCAGCCATTTTAACCCTCTTCATAGCTTACTTTGTGCAGTCTGGGAAACTGAAAGTTGTCCAGCTGACTAGACCACACAGATCAGTGTGCGAGAACTACAGAGGCATCAGTTTACTTGACGTGGCAGCCAAGGTTTTTGCACAACTTTTGCTGAGCCGCTTTGCTGCAGCAAGACAGGCACGCACTCGTCCTAACCAGAAGGGATTCAGCCCCAATGTGGGCTGTGTTGATCAGATATTCACTTTACGTCGACTCTTGGAACATCGCCACGAGTTTCAACAACCCAGAGCAATCTGCTTCATTGATTGTCATGCGGCATTCGACTCAGTGGATCGCGAACCCCTATGGAACATACTTCTGACCAATGGTTTCCCAGTTACGTTTTTCAACTTAATGAGATCCTACTACTCTAACACTAGCGTCCAATTCCGCATCTACAAAGAGGAGTCATCCGCGTTCTAGTTGGGATCTGGGGTGCGACAGGAGTGCCTACTGTCCGTTGATTGGATAATGGGTAGTTCGATGGAAGAATACCGGAGAGTTAAGACCTGTTTGAACCTATGGCTCACCGACTTAGAATTTGCGGATGATATTGTCGTCTTTGGCGAGGACATGTCTAAACTCCAAGTAATCGTTGACCGCATCAGTCGACAGGCCTCAGAGATCGGCCTATAGGTGAACACATCAAAAACCAAAACCTTTGCGACGGTTCCGATTCATCCTTTAAATGCCTTACTACTAAACGGCAAGCCGATCGAATCCGTCGAAAGCTTCAAATACTTGGGTTTAACTATACTCCCTAACGGCCAAGCTAAAGACGAGGTGCAAGTGAGCGTCGATGCTGCAAAGCTGAAGAACTCACTTTGGCGTAAAAATGAAATCAGCCTCAAGACAAAAATCCGAGTTTTCTCCGCAGCAATCCGTCTTGTCTTGTTATACGGCTGTGAAACCTGGCCAGTTAGAGTTAACCGCTTTCATCAATTGGAAATCTTGGATCACTGGTGCTTAACGATAATTCTGGGAGCACAATGGAGGGATGAGCTCTCGAACAAAGCGGTGATAAATCGGTGTTTTAGTCTTGTATGGCTGCTAATATGGATGCTAATACACCGGCGGCGACTACAATGGTTTGGTCACTTTCCTTCTAAGTCTGATAATAACATGACCAAAGCTGTCTTGGCGCCGCTGCCCTGCCCGAACTGGCGTTGTCAATACGGTGGGCAGCTGAAAACCTGGCTCGACACGGTACGAAAGGATACTGAAAACCATGGTCTCCGCTCCGTTTGCCAATGGAAGTCAAGCTGTATCACAATCTGCGCTGATCTTGCCGCAGATAACTGAGCGTGGGCAGCGGCAATTAGGAATATCCATGAAGCAGACTTATCCTCCTCCAGGAGCCAGCCGTCGTCAAGGAAGTAAGCATGTTCATATGTAATGCCGATGGGTATTGCCGTGGATGATGCAAATGTTTGATGATCATGAGGCAACTTTGTCAGATGAGAACTTTCGACAAATGATATTTTAGCAAAAATGTGGATGTAAAAACGTCTTTTTCTTAGAGACATTTAGGCAGGGAATGGTAAATTATATTTATGTTAATTGTCAAGTTGTACAGTTAGTATAGGTTCAAATCTATCAGTTGTATAGGTCATGCATCGTTTGAACTTAATCAGACTGGATTCAACATATGCTCATTTTTTTTGGTTGAGGTTTACAGGATTTTGCCATGCCTTTCTAACGTGTTTATGTTTATGTGTTTTTACATGTCAGACTTACGATCAGAAAAATATTAAATTTTTGCAGTAAAATTTCTTCACAGCAACTCTCAGTTGATGTGGGCAACTGATAAGTCCTTTCCGCCGCTAGTATAAATATGAACACTCACATCGGGGCAACACAAGGGCTCCATAGTTTAACTCACTTCAGTGTTGGCTTGCTTGCGCTTGAAATTCGATGCGCCTCGTGTCCCCGTGTCTTTCTGAATGAAAGCAGTGGCCAGTAGCAGCATATCTTGTTCCAATTGTCTAAACAAAATACAGTGCGGGAGTGCAGGGAATAATAATCAAGTATACTCATCAATGCATGAAAATAAAGAGAAAGGTGCGTGGAACGAAAGGAAAGGTTGTAACCAAGGATTTTGATTCGGTCTTCACATAACTAGGTGGATTGAACTCCGTAGGCTGTAACCGGGCTAGCTTTTGTCCAGAAAGAGGTAGAATAGACAGTCGGTTGTATTTTACTTGTAAAATGCTAACCGTGATTACTCGACATCTAATAAATCGTTTTAATTTGGGATTTCCCGAGCCAAATATGAAGTTACTCAATATCGATTCCCAATATTCCTTTTGAAGCAAGAGGCTCGTTGAAGAGACGGAATAAGATTATAACACTTTCTGGAGCACTAATCGAATTGGCACAAATGTGGTGCGTTGGAAAACGATTTGCTGTGGACATAGGAAAGCTCTTCAGGGCTCGGTGATTATTAGTAATCCGACCACCAGTTGAATGGTCCCCTGTTTTAAAGGTTATTCATTTTATTATGTAGGATATTGATCATGCAGTAAGAAAACATCTCAGATGGATACTGAAAAATTGTACATCGATTTTGTGCAATTTTAATTTGTCTCTCACAAACGGGTTTTAGTTATAATAACAAAACCTGCAATTCACATTAAATTTTCTTATAAATGTGTTTCCATGGACATTGCGAATCATATAATGGAGCATAAATTCTGTTTAAAAATTTACTTCCTGCACCTAAGAAATCAATATCCTTTACCACGTTTTCGTCGTGCATAGAGCGAACGAAGAGCAAACGGAAAACCTGAGAAGCACTGTACGGCCGTCTCAACCTGGTTGGGTCTGATCAACGGTGCGAATTCATCTACCCAACTACGGACCCAACCCGGGACCTCACCAGCAGAACGCAAGCGCACTATCCACTCAGCCACCGGGTAGCTGATTAGACTTTTCTTCATTTTACATTTACAAGATACAGCACCACCCAATGTTTGGGAGCTTGTTGCGGGCATCGCTCCTGGCTCATCTGAGTACTAGCCTCCTGGTCTCTGACTCGGTTAGAAGCATTCATAACCTGACTTTATCTATGCAACTGAATCAAATCCTCCATTACTTACATGCGAAATTAATATCCGTTTGGACCACATTCAGTTCCATTCAGGTTTTTCAATCATGTACCCTGCACTTTAGTGTGCTCGTTTTGTTTATCGGCTCATGAATGCCCTCTTGGATAAAAGTGCAGAAGGAAGAATGGAATATTGCAAGCGGAGTCAGAGGGAAGATAGAGATTTTACGTGGACTAAGGTTGCAAGGATAATGATTAGATGTATGAGTTCAGGTTACGGGCTGATTTGCCAACAAACTGACAGAGCTAGATTGATAATTCGCAATAAAATCAGTTACTTGTGAGTAACTTCCATGGAGGTCCTGACTTGGTGGGAGGCTTTCGATTGAAGTTAGCAGGTTGTCATCTCTGTATCCCTTCGTTGCTGTCGGACCAAATGAATTGACTATAATTTAAAACGACACCTAAACAAACATAAACTAGCAATTTGGTTCACCCTTTCCATGCGATGGGTCCGGAGTTCAAATCTCGTACGGGACGGTGAATATGCACTTCTGATGAGCTTTAATAGGAGTGAAACTTGAGTCTACTGCTTATTCGTGTATGGCTGAATCGATGAACTCAGAATAGTGTGTGAAGGTAAAGTCCGAAGAATATTCAGTTCAAATCAATAAATTCTCATAAATGAAGTGTATCTATTAGCCCAGCTTAGTCATCCGTCCGGTATCGATGTGGGTGACGCTGAATTTCAAGTTTTTGGACAGTTGCCGATTTATGACAAGACTCGAAGAAATTGACACAAATTCCCAAAATAACATCCACAATGGTAAAACAGTATGTATGCCAGTAGAACATGATGGAATTTTCGAATCTTTTGAGGTTATGTCGAAGACGAAAGTGAAAGTTATTACTAGGCAAAAATGAAAATGTTTTCCCCCACTTGAGTAGCTTGTACCGAGTGAAAACTGTCCAACATCAAAGGTAAAACACTGCCATATTAATGATTTGATTCTAAAGCAACTTATTTTGTTGGATATTGGAAGATCTAAATGTCAAGTTCTCACCATTGAAAGCATTACGTTTTCATTGATTGTTTCACATCGAGAACAATATCAGTAATCGGCTCATAAACGTACTTAACCCCTAACAATCTAGTGGATTTTCAGCGGATCTGATCACATTTAAAGCCCAGTCTTGCATCAATATTAATTTGAGACTGATTACTATGAGTGGGTAAAGCAATAATGCGTTTTTCTTTCATTCTATGGCATGTGCCTACCCGAGTCAAATTACTGTTGATAATAGTAGCCACTGTTATCTGGTCATAAAAGAATAAATGGAACACAGCGCTTCAAACAAAAGATTTACTCTTCAGTACAAACTTACCGAAAGTCATCTAGTGCACTGTCGTAGACGATCCAAAATCCAACCTGATCCCGCACATGTACTCGACCCTCTTCATGAAAATAATAATCATCGTGATTGTCTACTTCGGAAAATTGTATGAATTCCGTTTCACGAATTCTTTAATGATGGGTAAGGAGAAACAATGCAACAAGGGGTGAGTGGGAATCTTGTCACATCATTCCAATTCACAAGTGTTGAGCTTTGTGATTTCATCTCCTTTGAGAGTATACAAGTTGGCAGAGACATAATATCGTCAGAGCTAACTAAACAAGTTCTCAAATCTCAAAACAGGTTTATCGTTTCGAGCTGAGCGCCAAACGTATGCACAGAATAGTGGTTGTTTATTTCGATCAGAGATTGTGTGAACGATTTTCTACTCGTGGGTTCGAATCCCATTGAGGCTACTGAACTTTTCACATTCCCAATATAAGGGACATTTTCACGCTGGGTCGAAAGGTCATTTGGGATGGGAAGACGGATGGAGTAGGATAAGCCCTATGTTTCTGTGTTCGGATGAGAATGAATTTGATTGGAGTGCTGTTGTTGGTGATGATGTTGATGATCATTTTGGGGCCAGGTTAACCGGAGAGTTTGAACCAGTTGCTTTTAAGCATAGTTGTGGGGCACAGAGGCGAAGGTCTATCGCCTCAGCGGTTGCTAGGGTGTGTAAGCGTACTGTCTTAGACGTGTCGAGGGACACACGATAGATTACGCTGAAAGTGGATTCCGGTTTAATTTGATGGCCTGTATCCACTAGATGACCAAGAATGGCGCTTCCTATGCTTTCTCCTTCTCCTTCTTTTAACCAGATTAGGCAGTGTTCCTTCATCTGTTAGGATAGATGCCTCGCCATGCGGCCAATGCAAGCTGCATAGCAAACGCACCGGGAAGAGTTCAGGCACCATTAGGAATCTTTCGAAAGCAACCGTTTGCCCTCGGACTTGTGTTCTGAGATCTCTTTTTTATTAACCCGCATTCTCTACCCAGTGTTATGGTCAACATTTTCACACTGATAAACCTGTAATTTGTCGCTCTGTTCTTATCCCTATTTATTTGTGTTTAGATGAAAACAAGTGTATACAGGCTTTAAAATGTAATCACGCAGATCATGAGTTTCCATACAGTTTGCATTTCAAAACAGTTCGCCCACACGATGCAATCAGTTCCACGTAGCAACAAGTTACATGTGTCAGCCACCAGGGGATGAGTTTCATTGACCTAAACATGTGTCATCTCGTTGAAATATGATAAGACATATTAATAATAAACGCGTAAAATAATTCCAATAAAAACCTCAAAAGCCTATGAATAGTTCTTCTGAAACAAGTTTTATCCGCGAAATAGGAGCAAGTCACTTCTCTGTTGACGCAGCATTTTTCACATCCTTCACACAGTGTTCGAACTTATCCTTTCACTTCTATCATATGCTTAGTCACAGCTGAGTAACACGTCTCCAGGTCGCGGATAGGAGAACGGCCGCCTTGGTGGTTAACTGTTAATAGATGGGGCTACCTCACTGAATAATCAGTCGGTGACAATCAGCGGCGATGCTACAGGACGTGGTGGGGTTTCTGGCTGACAACTGCTATCCCTTTTAAATGCCATAAGTGTCTGCTAACAGCATCGTGACGTATGCGAATGTGGCCCGCCAACAAAACCGGCCATTGCTACTTGTCTACACTTACGAGTAGGACAAACGCTGAGGAATGCTACCGATCCTCACACCTTGCGGACACGTTGGCATCCTGGACTGGCGCTGAGCCATCCGAAAGGCGTATGAACCGTTCTAACGATCACCGGTTACCACAATTTCTACCAGATTACCCGGCAGGTCGCACTTGATTGTGCAAGGGTAAGAATTACACCATCGAACAAATCCGAGCGATGCTGGGGACGTCACTTAGTACCTCATTCCCGAGTTTCATCGATTTCAGGCTACGGTGTTTCCGGCAAGCGACACATCCTACGCTCACCCAGTGGCTGGAGTGACAAATGAGCAAGCTGGGAACCTCAACCATCTACGCACCAGATACAGTATCGATATAGCCTGCTGGAATGTTAAGACATTGCAAGACACAGGAATCCAGTGTATCACAATGCGATCACTGCACGACGACAAGGTAGACATCTGTTGTCTGTCGGAATTCCAACCACCTAACTGTGGTACAAAACTAATCAACGTACCACAACGTAACCTACAGGTTAAACCACAACAGTCCAATTGGCAACTCCGGTTTGCGCGGAGTAGCAATCGCCGTGAGTGGCCACGAAAGGAGTGCCATGATCACCTGGGAAACAATCTCTCCCAGGATTGCCATAGCGCCCTTCAGATGTAAGCAGTTTAACCTAAACCCATCAAAGACGACTTCTACAACCAAGTTCAAGAGGCCCTGAACCGAAGTCCGATACGTGACATTCTCGTTATCGCAGGAGACTGGAATGCAAGCACTCGTCCATCAGATGAACATGCTCAGCATGTTCTGGGAAAGTTCGGTCTTGGTCAAGGTTGTGAAAATGGCAAACGCGTAGTCACATTTGCAGAACTTAACCGACTGGTCGCGGCCAACACTCGTGTTTAGCACCCCAGAAAACACCCTCCTTACGTGGTATTCAGATGATGGTCGAACGGCACACCAGGTTGATTATATTTTGGTACATGCTCGCTGGGCCTCTTTCGTGGAAGACTGCTGTTCCTATCGCGGCGCAGAAACTGGAAGCAAGAACGGAACGGACCATACCCTTGTACCAGCCCGCTTCAAGATGCACCTGCTTGCTCGCCGGAAAACTCGTCTCCCAGGCAAACTCAACGTGGCGCTCTTGGAATGACCTGCTGGACGCAACCGCTTCCAACATAGCCGCAACTTTCTGCTATGACCCACCTGTCAACGCACAGTGGTCTACGTCGAAAACGTCCATCAGTGAAGTGGCGCTGGAGTAGTTAGGTGAGATTCTTAGCCATAAGTGAGACGTGATCTCCAAGCGTACACTGCAATTGTCCGCAAAGGCAAGAGATGCGCGGCTGATGAATTCTCCTGAATTTCGTATTCTCGATCGTCCTGCCACGCGCTTTATTAAGAGGGACCGTAAACAATAATATAAGGCGATTGCAGACAACATGGAGGCTGCAACCGTTGCAGAGAACTTTGAAAAGCTATTCAGTCTAACATCGGAACCACTGTTGCCAAGCACCACAGACCAACGTATTCAGAGAGCTGAACAAACAAATGCAAAGGTAGGTTGAACACTTCGAAGGGCTACTCAATGGACCATCAAGCCTATCTGGCTCTCTAAATGTGTTAAGCAGTTCGGAGACTTACGATATCTAGTGTGACCCACCTCTTAAGACAAAAATCATTAATTCACTCAGTTCTCTGAAAAACAAGAAGGTCCCTGGAGAAGACGGGATACCGCCAGAGTTATTCAAAGCCTGTTTACCAACTCTGAGCGATCCGCTGCACTCGCTTTTTGGCAGAATTTGAGAAAGAGAAGTTTTTCCAAAAGAATGAAAAGCTTCAATTTTAGTCCCGGTTCCAAAGAAGGCGACAGATCTAGATGCGAAAATTATAGGGGNNNNGCTGTGTTAAACAAATCCTCACCCTTCGCAAGATCCTGGAACACCGCTACAAGATCCAACAGCCTACCGCTGAATGTTTCATTGACTTCCGCGCTGCGTTTGACTCTGTCGATAGAGAATGCTTGTGTGAATCTTGCGGTCCGACGGGATGCTTGCGAAGTTCATCAGACTTTCAAAGTCATACTACTCAGGAACCGGGGCACGCGTCTGTACCTAGGGAGAAGAATCAGCTGAGTTTACCGTAAGCTCTGGAGTCAGGCAAGGTTGTCCCCTATCGCCGGTGTTATTCAATTACACGGTAGATTGGATAATGCGACAAGCATTCATCGATTACCCCGGAGTGCAGCTTGGCCTAAGTACATGGATTGCCGACCTCGAGTTTGCGCATGATTTCGTTGCACTTGGAGACACCATGGGCAACCTCCAGCTTGTTATCAATCGTATAAACCAGTTTGCCATTGAGCTAGAGATCAACAGGTCGAAGACAAAGGTGGTTTCGACCGAAACTTCTGCCATGACGCAACCCCTCTCGATTTACGGGGAGCTCGTCGAATCAACCGAAATTTTCAAGTATCTTGGCTCTACGATAAGACTAAACGGCCAGGCTAAGGATGAAATCCAACTCCGTGTAGATAGAGCTAGAAGAGCCTTCCTACAACTCCTAAAACCGTTGTGGAATCCATGCGAAATAAACCTAAACAGTAAGCGTCGGGTTTATCAGGCTTTCATGCGCCCCATACTCAACTATGGCTGTGAAACCTGACAGCCAAGAGTAAACGATACAAGAGAACTCGAAGTTTTTGATCATTAGTACTTACGCCGCATCTTGAGAGTAAATCGGAGAGATCCAATGATGAGGTTAAACGGCGCTGCTTGAACATTGACAAAGTCTCAAAAATGTTACAACGCCGGTGGTTTGGCCATGTACTCCGAAGGCCCAACACTCAGCTCCCGCGACAGGCTGTGGTCCGCGCACCGTGCCGTGGATTGAGTTTCCGACTAGGTGGTCAACTGAAGACCTAGAGCATTACGATCAACGTGGATTTGGAATTACTGGGCCTCCAATCCCTAGATGGAATTCGTAACTGGAACCATAACTGGGTTTCTCACTACGTCAACCTTGCTACCGGTTGTCATGCATGGGCTACCATCATTAGAGACATCCAAAAGCCGACTTATCCTCCCGCAGAAGTTAGTCGATCAAAAGTAAAAGTAATATCTTTGACTTCCCTTCGTGAATGATTTGCCAAAGGCGACGAGTCATGCATGGATGCAATGCCAAAGGTTTGTAAATAAATACCATACAGATCACACTCAGTCTTCGTACATTTTACAAGATTATCACCCCGTTACACCTTGCCACACATAAATTCGTATCAATTTTGACCAACTGGCAGCACACCTCAAATGATTTTATTGAGTATTTACAGGTTACAGCGGAAGCGGTGGGAATACGTCTGCACAACCCCAATCTGTGTGTCTATAAACAATTTTTGCAGACGCTTAAGCTCACCTGGGCCACTACTCACACATCCCATATCCC